CCCATTCTGTAGCTTTGTGCTTAATTCCAAACAAAAAAAAAACATTGATTTCCAATAGTTTGGTTCTTTTGTGAACGGATATACGAGAACAAATCTTCTTCTAAGGAAATTAACTTTTGTTGCTAAAGTAGCTATACGCAGCATGGTTCGTAACACCACACCAGCATCTTACCTAATAAATGTAATGAAACTTACTTGCAGGATGATGGAGGTGATTTTGAGAAGAGTTGCCTGATTGCTGACATGTTTGTTGGTTGTAATATGATACTGTTGGCGTACAGGAAATAAAATTCCGTTTTTCTCTGAGCACCCGTCTTAGCTACACTCTCGTTCTACAATTTATGTATGTTGATAGTCAATTCTGTCTTTATGACTGTGTTAATAAAAAGTTAATTGTTGTAACACATAATTGTCAGTATTTGAGGAGTTAATTTTTATCAAAAGTTCGTGTTTTCTTTTTCTAAACCACATACACTACGCGTACTTGACATTGTTATAACCCGTATGAATATGGTGATATAATTTCATCAGCATGAGCAGAACATTCTAAAAATAACTCATTGCAGCCTAACATATATATATAGTTAAGTACGAAAACTTGAAGAAAAGCAGATGTGATTATATGAAAAGAAAGTACGCGAAAATCTACAACATCGCAACTATTTCGTAAAATGGGAAAAGCATAAAACACAGACACACAAACAAGCTTTAATGATAAGAAACTACTAAACTACTTCCACTTGTTACTTTTACTTCCGTTTCTAAAATGTTTTTCATTAAAATAAATTACGTTTTGTATATTTTAAATGTATCCTTTTCTTTTGTGAAAATGGCCTGGTGGTTAAGGCACTCGACTCGCAATCTGAGGGTCGCGGGTTCGGATCCCCGTCACACCAAACGTGCTCGCCCTTTCAGCCGTGGGGGCGTTATAATGTGACGGTCAATCCCACTATTCGTTGGTAAAAGAGTAGCCGAAGAGATGGCGGCGGTGGTGATGACTAGCTGCCTTCCCTCTAGTCTTACACTGCTAAATTATGGACGGCTAGCGCAGATAGCCCTCGTGTAGCTTTGCGCGAACTTCAAAAAACAAACAAACAATCTTTTGTGAAACCATAGTAAACTACGTACATTGGGAAAAGGGAAGGAGACAAGAACATGTTCTGAGAGGCGTTTTTTATTACATTCTGAGATTGCGCATAAATTATCAGTATTTTTGAGAAATTCGTAGATGATTATATTTATTTATCGTTACAACTCTCCGAGAGACATGTTGCGACACGTTCCTTTCAGTGAACACGTGTTTACAGATGTCTTAAAACTGGCACTTTTGAAATCGTCTCGACTTACGTAGTCTGCGTAAATACACTTGTGTAGGTTTTTACCGTGTTAGTTGGGCTGCTATTTTCGGTTTTAGCTCTTCTAAAACAAGCTTTCCCTGAAAAAATTCACACAGTTGCAAAAATAGTTGAGAAACACTAATTTTAGATTTCAAGTTTAAGTCTGGGCCTGACTAAATATTCAAGTGTAAAAGACTGACGACATTGATGTCATCGGGTCTTCTGAAGTTTGTATGTTTTGGCATCACCAGAAACCTTTTCATTTTTTTACAGCGGTTTCATCCAGTGTTCTTGCTTCAGAATATTTTATTTGACATGAGCGTCGGCGTAGCCCATTCTTCATTCAACTGAAGAAAGAACAAGAGATGACTGCATCCTAGAATTAGAAATCAGTTCTCGAAAAACTGACACGTTAACAAATGTGAGGAGATGTTTTCTAGCCTCCACCTTTTTTTGTTTCGAAACGTGAAGTGATAAAAATATGACTAACTTCAAATACACAGTTTGTAAATGTTAAAAATTCTCCATATGTGCAAACGTTTCTTCATTATTATCTTAAAGAAAAATAAGCAACATTTGTAAATAAGTATATTCAATTATTTTAAAACTCCACAAAAAAACATCACCGCTTAGGTGGACAGGGTTAATTTTGTAATTGAAAAATACATAATTTGTAAACCTCATTGCAACGACGCCATTGAATAATCTTAATGAAACTTATCAAATTGAAGTTTTCATCCTGAACGTTACCTTATGCACACGTGGGTTAAAAGGTTAGGACAGAGACCATTAGGATTCAGTTATAGTCGAACGTAATTTGAACTACTGACTAGAGAGAAGGCAGCCAGCCAGAAGTATTCGACTCCACAAGGGTTTTCTCCTGTTTGTGAAACCAAATAACGGGATTGGTTGTTGCTTTTATAACACGCCCATAGCAGAAAGTATTATAGTGGTCTTGCACTGACGTCAAAGAGTCACCTGATGTATAGCTGACTCCACTGTATTGGACATCAAGTGCTTACATCCGCCTTAGATGAAAAATAAAAAAATTATCTTGTAATTTTGTCGAACGTGCTTTGTTGTCACAATGAGAAAAACCTCTACACTGGAGAGATGAAGTGAAGAAAAAAGTATCATTGGCCACTATTCAGTTCATCACATTATATAACCGCACAATAGCAGGTGTAATAAATAAACTTAGTATTCCGAAAATTGTTTAATCTCGATATCCAAGTTAAAGAGAAGTCCAGTTCAATCAACACTTTGATCAACGTGTGCTGTTGGGTTATACTAATTTCGGAGAATTCCACTCCTCCTCATAACCCCCGAACACAAGTTGACCAGAGAGAGATA